TTGGATGCCCCCATGATCCTTCATTCTTAATCTCTTAGCATGATTTTGGGTAATTAAAGTTCCGGGTGCTTCTGTATCCAGTAAGCACAGGAGTGTAACGGGTTTTCGTTTTCCTTTCGCTCGTCTGTTAAATCTACATAGACGATAGTTTCAGGGTCTCTTGTCGTGCGACGTTGATGAGTTGATTGGCATTGGACGGAAGTTAACGATGCTAAACAGATCGTCAGTGTCTAGCTGAGCAGTTACTAGGCATTTGTCTTATTTTGCGTTAGACTTCGTTAGTTGCCAAACAAATTTGTTTTATATTTAGTGAGATATCTTAATAACTTAGGTATGAGAAAACGGAACATGATTCCGTTGAATCATCATCCTTGGCCTAATCCTCAGACGGTGATCTCTCCGTCCGAATGTTTGAAGTCGAATTCCGCAAGGCCTTGTCGACAGCGGCCATCTTCTTGTCCATCATTGTTTGATGGATCCACAGGGAGTCGAGTTCCGTCCCCTCGTTGTCGGATGTTCAGACTTTCGCTTTGCAACATGGTTGATTCGTTTTCTTCTTCGATCAGCACTTGACCGCAGCGTTGAAACCTTCTTCATGAGTACAGAGAGTTCCTTTCTTGGTGTAGGTCTTGGCGTGCGTCGGACTTGCGTTTTCCAAGGTTCTTGTTCTTGTTGTCGATTGGCGTTTCGTATCGTTGTCAGACGAGACTGAGACTTGGCCTTGAGCTTTCTTCCAAGTCATGCAGTCGCAGCAGTGTTGTGGTGCTGGGACCCGTGGTAGTCGCACCCACTATTCTTTCGTTCTTGGAAGAATGGGTGTTGTTGCGAGTAGACTTGTATTCTTGTCTGTTGTTATTCTTAGAAGCGAGCTTGCTTGGCATCCACGCCCTTGTCAAGTCTTCGGGGGATTCATGCGTTCGCAGAACTCCAATGGTTTCTCCGATAGGAGCTGAAAAGGATCGAAGTCGGTTAGTCCATCTTCTCTCATCCACGAGCTGTGGAATTCCATTACAACATGGTCAATTACTTCGTCATGCGTTCAATGTTTTGTTGTGGTCCAAAAGGTGGAAACGAGGAAGTTCATCGTATGTTCATCCGACTGAGTTGTAGTTGACATAAGCCGGTAGACATATCAGACGGCTTGTCATCTTGCGACGCATAATGGTTTCTGCTTTTCAAGAGCCTGTAGGGTCAGACCGCTTCGATACAGGCAATTTATGCCAACGTAATGTCAGCGATCGTCCAAAGCAGGCTGAGCTGCTCCGTTCAGGCAGCCTGGAAACTGCTTGGAAAGTGGTTCGTCTTCACCGCCACGTATCGTCGCAGTGGAGGAATCGTGTTGACTGAATCTGGCGCAAGGCTATTCCAACGTATTTCACGGTGCCTGCACAGCTAGATTCGTAACTGCTCTTGGCCGAGCTAGAAGTCATCTCTCCCTGAGGGGTTGTTTTTGTCGTCAGGCGTAGCAATGGCGAGCCCGACGAAGACCTTCCCATACGTCCAGCCCACTTGATGGTTTGACGCGGAGTCTCGATCCATTGAAGATTTGGACCTTGAAGGTGTACTTGGCGTGTTATGCATCTGCTGGAATAGTGCAATTTGTAGGTGGTAGAGCGAGAATCGTCGATTTCGCATTCTCATCGAGGTCGATGAGAAGAAGGATTGTTTGTCACGCAGCTGGGACTCGAAGCTGGTGTATGCGTCTTTTGCGCATCTTCATGGTGAGGAATAAGTTGAGGGTAGTGAAAGCTATTGTTTTGTTAACAAAATGCACTACGCTAAAAGTAGTGTAAGATCTTTCGAGTGTTTTGAGTTTGAGAGAATGAAGTTATGAGAGAGATTAAAAAACTATGAAAACTAATAACAAGAGAGATCCACATCAAGGATCGTAGATCTGTTCCCGCGGGAGACTGTATGGTGTGATAGAGTAGGTTGCGGGTAGCGATCCTACTCACTCCACGATCCAAAACGGAACGCTGGAAATTCGTCTAGATTTATCTAGTAGCGTGGAACTCTCCACGCCAGCTAAATTCTAGCCGATGTTTCACATCGACTAGTATGACTAGCGGTCATGAGAACCCTGTCTCAATGACTATTCACGAAAGACTCAGTCATGAGTCGAACTCAAACCCTATCTAGGATCGAGTCGCGAATAAGGCTAAGAGCCGTGTATTGCAGGAATATTGTCAATCCAGCCATTGTATCCAGCTGCCGTATAGCTAGTGGCAACAGTGCTTGATTTGCGCATACAGGAAAATGGGTACCGACACAGGAATCACCACCAAAACAGTAGGAAATAACAAGAAGGGATGAATCCGGTAGGAGGATCCACTCTCTTGTGTGTTGTCGAGTAGCTAGCCTCGCTCCTGTTCCCTTTCAATAAGTCGACGACGGTCCGTTCATGCTGTTGGTAGGGCTGGAGTTAACAGTTTCCTCCGTCCACATACCTCCGTAGCGGTAGCCTCTTCTTCCTCGTGTTCTCCGGAGCGACCGATCGTTCGTTTGACAATGGGATTTCCTCGGCCATCAGCAGTACAGCAGAGAAAACAACAAATAGATATGAGTTTTGTTTTCTGTGCTCAACTGCAGACGACCGGAGACTTACCATTGTTTTTCAAATTGCACCAACTTGGCCGTCATGGGCCGAGAACTGACTGCCATCCCACGGTCCATAGGATTCAATGAGGGATGGCTTTCCAATCTGCACCGGAGAAGGATGGCTTGAGTGAGGCTTGGATAACAGAGGTGCGACCGATTCGATTCGATTCGAATAATTAAATGCCAACTCACCTGTTGATGGCCGAGCTTGGAATTCTCTCCTGTTTACCATAGAAATTGAATGAGGGAGAGAAGTCAGCGCTGTACCTTCAATTAACACTCTTGATAATAGGCTTACCTCATTGCGATCGATCGATCGATCGGCCGATTGGATAAAGAACTCCTCCTACCGGTATACGTATACCACTCTTGTCGGCCAAGCTTGGATTTACCTCCTGTTTACCATACGAATTCAATGAGGGAGAGAAGTCAGTGCTGCGCCTTCAATAATGCGGTACTCAATCAGTTTATCTTTAACCTTAGTAACTTTAATGGTTCCTTTATCCACGAATCGATCTAAATCTTTCGAAGCACATGGCGCCGTCTCAAGGAGAAGGAACTAAATCTTTCGAAGCACATGACCGTTGATTCTGCAACTGAAGTGCGGGTACACTAATTTACACAGTAAACGCGAGCCAATCGATTTCAGAGTGCAACTGAGGGGGTAACCAAAAGGTGCGCCGTCTCAAGGAGACGGAATTAAAGGGGTTGAGAACTCAGGCAGTTTACCTGCCGAGGTAAATACTAAATAGATACCACGTTAAGGAGCGAGGGGGGCGAAGCTAGGCAGAGCAGGGGCTGCGGTGGTGGGCGGCTGTGGTGGTGGGCGTTGATACAAGAGTGCATGCCCATATATGCCCATGCTCCATGCAGCTGGGCTTCAACGCATTCAAGCAGCAGAGCTGTCTGACTGACTCGCGATCCAAAGGGAAAAGGAGCGATTGCCTGTTTCAAGGCATTGTTTCTCCTGATGGCCTCCAATCTTTCAGCTACTGGCCATTCTCCAATGGATCTCCCATGCAGATTCTGGCTAAGAAGTGGTGGTATCCCTGAGATCTGAGAGAGAGAGCCTGCAGCGTCGAACCGAACCGAACAGTACCCAGAAGCAAAGGATTGCTCACCTCACTAAATAAATTCGTTCCACTCATGACTTTGGTAAAATTTGGTTTGGGACCAAAAGCACGGATTCAGCAGGACTGAATATCCTGAGGCCGAGGCGAAGGGAGCTTATAAGAGGCGAGGGACGGCGAGTGCAACCCAAAGCCTTCCCAAGTTTTTTGGGTGTTGGTTGTCTTTGGTGAAAGAGGTGCCCCTTTCATGTTTCACAGACTTGCTGGGTTAAAATGAGTGACAATGGCGCTGCGACCACACCCAACAGGAGGAGCAAGCGGTACTAGTAGCTTCCTTTTGCTCCACTAGCTAGCTAGCGTCGTACCTCAATTGCTGGCAATGATGATGTCCAAATCCCTTCTTCGATCGGCTTCAGGCCGTTTGATGTTGACATCGCATTCGACTTGGATACAGCTGTATCCGACGAGTTGTCCACAACACATTTGTTTCTTTTCCTCCAAAGCCAGTCGACGGAAACAAGGCAGTACTAGATCTAGTAGTAAGAAGAAGAAGAAGCCACAAGGCCAGGACACCACCAAGCAGATCCATCATCCGACACCGAAAAAGCAACGCAAAGCACCCAAAGTGCGGTCCGGAAAGATCTTTGTTCCGCCGGCTCTCTTGCTGCCCACGGCATCTCCCTTTGCCTATGTGGCCCGAGCGGCAGTACTACCCACGTCTACCGGTATAGCAGAAGGAGAAGACAACAACGACGACGACGAGAATCCATTGGAACTGGCACGGACTCTGTTTGCGGACGATCACCAAGATCCATTGGCGGACATGACATTTGAGTACTGCAGTCCACAATCTTTTGGACATGAATTGCCCCGTGGCAACATTCCCGAAGTGGCCTTTTTGGGACGATCCAATGTCGGAAAATCCTCTCTCATCAATGCGGTCATGAAACGAGACTTGGCACGTTGTAGCAAACATCCGGGACGCACACAGCAACCGTACTACTATGCGTTGCAACCGTCGTCACAACAAACGACAGCAGTGGTTGGATTCTTGGTAGATTTGCCGGGCTATGGCTACGCCAATGCCCCCGACAAACACGTCGACGAATGGCAACAACAGACACAAGACTTTCTCCAAAGTCGACGCGACGCCGGGGCACTGCAGCGTCTCTTTTTGCTGGTGGATGCCCGACGAGGTATGCATACGTCCACCAGTAATATCGATTTGGCCGTCATGCGATGGATGGACGAACAATCCATTCCCTACAGTGTCGTGATTACCAAGGCCGACTGTGTCAACAAACCACAACAAATCAAAGTCGCCAATGAAGCTTGTATCAGATATCAACAACAACATCAAGATGAACGAGAACAAGTTCTGGTCGATGGAGTCCCGGAGGAGGACGTTGTTCCGTCGGGATATATGGGACCCATTGTCTACATTACCAGTGCCAAAAAGAAGGAAGGAATGATCGAACTGAGAGCCGCCATTGAATCCGAGTTGTTTTGGGCAGAGGAATGAATAAAAAGCAACTGCGCCACTGCGTAGCGACCAATAAGGAGGAAACTACAGGACGAGCTAGCTAGCTAGCTAGCTACATGTAGTAGCAGAGGTGGGTACGCGTGTAATACGGTATCAGGCTTGATTATCGGTGAACAGTTTTAGTTTCTTAGTTAGTTTGACAACGCCATTTATTTATTGGGTTGAGCTATGCATAGCTAATATGGCTGACAACGAATAGAGGCAATTTCCTGATGACATGAGCTTTGAAAATTTTTGGGATCAAACCCGTGAGTTTGTAGCGGACTGTGCGCCTACCACAATCACAGCAAGCGATGGTGCATCGAGCATGTAAGAACCACTTGTGTCTTGTCTTGTAGGATGTTGCAGTGTATGCTGTGATGGGGGGACTGGAATCGAGTCTGCATGGAAGAGTAGCTCTCTTGATTTTCGATGCGATGCGAGCCACAATCTTAATTGCTGTGAGGCAGGAGTTGGCCAACGCCCATCATACGGCAAACAGATGCAAAGGATTTGTAAAGGGCTTCTTTCATCCATGTGTTGTACTGTCTGGTGCTCTGATTATGCCCACATCTACATTGCCCTACTAGCTCCAAGAGCTACAATGCGCCTCCGTGGTTCTTCGGTTCCTTCTTCTACGACGATTCAAAAGGACTGCTGCATCGACGGCTGGTATCTTTCCGACGTTCGACTGGCGGAGTTCTTGTCCAGAGCAAATGACCTGTCGTCCACTCCACTTGAAGTTCTATGGGGACACGCTTTGCCCAACGGTCGCTGTTGCATAGGCTCCCAGCACTTCATGGACAAACCCTCGTCGATGTGACACTTGAATTCCAGTGGCATCAATGCGGAAGCCCCACAGTCATGACTCAAGACTTTCTTGTCCGGTTGGTCGCGATGATTCGTTGCTTGGTCCATACAGCCACAATTGGAGGGATTCGATTCAGCTGCCAAGAACCAGAACACTGGGGTCCTTCAATTGAAGCCATCCAAAAGCACCCCCGCTTGCAATTCCTGTGCATTGGGCATCCGATCCTTTCTTGGCTGTGTCGAGACTACAACGTCCTTGCAAGTTTGCACCAGCCATGGAGGACAAGATCTTGGCTCGCTTGGTCGAGAACAAAGCTCTCCTGGACGAAACGAATGAGGGAGTATCTCTCGGAGCAGGAGATTCGCTTCCGTGTCTACAAGTAAGTGCGTCGACACGGATGCTCCATTCTTTATCATTGATGTGTGAAGAAACAAACAGGAAGAACCTCTTGATTGCGGCAAGACGTTTCATTTTTGACCAAGAGAATTGGCTTATGTGGATTGCTTGGATAGCTTTGCTTGTCTGTTGAGCGACGCGGTGTCTGTGATGGCTTGAGCGGCCATGGTCGACTGTGTTGGTTTCTTGCTTGGAAAGTATCGTTCCTCGCTCTCTTGAAGAGAAGAGAGATTGGATTCTTGGACGAGTCGAGTCTGCGATACAAGAACGTTGGAGCAGCGGTAATTTGTAGCCCTGGACTACCGTATAATACGACCCTTTAGAAATGCACCGTATGTTGCGTATGCTGTTTTTTCGCTACAAAAGCGATCCGCCGTCCATTCCTTTGCCTCGCAGTATGCTCATGAGTCAGTGTTGATCGAGCTCTTGCTACGTTTTTGCTTCCAATGCGGCTTCTGTCGAGGTATCTCCAATGCACTGACAGAGAATGGTGAGACCAACAGCTCGACAAGGGTAGAGCCAGCCTTCATGACCACCGGAACAGTCCTCTGTCGGATGCGGATTCGCCTTGGATCGTCCATTGTGTTTTGGTCTTTTGGTTCGTTCTCGTCGCTGCTGATCCAGTGCAATACAGCGTCTTTCTTTGCAACCACATCATTGCCTTTGAGCTGGATGTACAATCGAGCTGTTGCGTGTCCGTGATTTGCCACCTTGACGACGATTCGACCGCCATGGCTGTCGGATAATAGTGATACGGAGGTTGTCAGCATGCTCTCTTTCTTCTTACCGTACCAAGCGGTGCCGCCGTTTCTCCAGCTCGATACTTCCAATGCCGACGAAGATGATACAGCGCCAACTTTATTCTTCTGATTATGTAGTAGTGTCACATTGAAGAGTGAACTCGTCACAAGCCCATGAGGTTGGTGTTGCATAAACAAGGTTTGCACAACCCATGATGGAGTCCCAACACTTCCGGTCGCATCCAAGAGGATTGTCGAAATGCCCGATGCCGTGGTGTCGGCATCATGAATGTTTTCCATCAAGTCACCATACGAAGCCATTCGTACCACATCAGAATTTGCTTCCATGCCCATCATGTAGATGGCTTCCGCCACGGCACCGCCCAGATCTACTCCGTTTGGAAAGACACTCCGAGGACTACTGTATTCGCTGACAAAGACTGTCGGGAGATCTGCTGTGCGCCGTGGAAATGCGTCAAAGTAATGCGCATGTTGTAGAAAACTCGCTGGGTCGTGGCGTCGGTGAATGTCGTACATGAGATTGGTCATTTGACGAATCCGTGGTTCGAGCTCCAGGACGGTCTGCATTTGTTGGGGAGATTCGCAGCCCAGCACCAATGGCAGGTCCGGATAGTGGCGTCGAACAGCCACGGCAATGTGCAGCCAGTTGCGGGCATACTGGAGCAACAACAAGGGACGACAGTTTTCATTCCCAATCCCCAATGCTTCCAATGGAATGGGATCATAGTGTCCGGCAGCGGCCCGTTGGGCACCCCAATACGTCGTGGCAGGATCTCCCATGGCAAACTCGACGGCGTCTACCGCATCTTGGACAAAATGGTGGCTGTCGTCGTCCATCGTCACACACGACGTCATGGTGCACCCGGCATTCACCACGAGCAACGGTTTGGCTCCAATAGTTTGCGCCATGGTGAGATATTCCAACATTCCCAAACCATCACTGGTAAAGTAGCCCCATTTGTCATTGTAGTGTCCAGGGCGTTCCTCGATGAGACCAATCGTTTGTTTCCAGTTCCACCGTCCACCCCAGTGGAGTCCTTCCACGTAACAACCACCCGGGAGTCGCACAAACGGCGGCGTTGACTCGCGTAGCCACGACAGTACATCGTGACGAAGGAGGCCATTCCAGGAATGTGTGATGGAAACGAGGGATACCACCGTTACGCCAATGGAAACGTTGTAGCTGTCTGCAAAAGCAGTGTTGTTGTGTTTGCAGTGGTGATCTTGTGGTGGTTTCAATAGTAATGCTTGAAGCTGAAATTGGCACGGAATGGATTGAGATTCGTTCCTTGCCGCATAATGTTCATTTTTGGGTACAGTCATGGTGACCACAACCTTTTTCCATCCATCTGTTTCGTTTGCTCGATCCACATTAGAATCATTCCATTGTTGTGTACTAGGCAGAACGGTGGCGTTGGCAATGGTGGAATTGATGCTGCCATTTTCCTTGTCGTTCGTTACCAAAGATGCCTCCAGCGTCACACCACTTCCTGGTTCGCTAGACTGATCCTTTGGATTGCTGTTGTCCACGTACAGAAACAGAGACAGTTGGAGCTCTTCTCCGGGCATGACTGCCATTCCACCGGGAAATCCAGTATTCCTCACCACAGCCGCGGGTTGACTGGAGGTCGGTCGTAGCCACAAGGCATGCTGGAGAATGGCATTGAGTGGTTTGGAATCATCGCGGTGAACATGACCTTGGACAACGATCCATCCTTCTTCGTTTGATTGCGTGTGGATTATTGGCAGCTGTAGTGCTCGATTGCGAATCTTTTCCGCATAAATCCCGCCTTCCCCCGCATGACGGAATTCTTCCCAAAAGCTACCAAACAGTTTGCCGGGGGAAAGTATGGGGATAACAGATGTGGCATGAATCGTTAGATTGGCAGAGAGTTCTGCTAATGCTCCATTGGTTGTTGTCGTCGTTCCGGTGGCCCGGACAACCGGCAGCGTTTGAAATACATGTAGAAGTGCATGTAGAAGCCCACGATAATACCGAAATGTCGGTTGGTGCCACATCGTTTCGCAACCGGTGGCCAACGGAGAGCCAAAGACTCTGGCATGCACAGTCCATCAATCGCCACCATGAGCTCCCGATATAGCAGACAAAGTTTATTACTGTCAGCCAACACCAAGGTATTTGCCGACACACCTTTTCAGAGCATCGTCCAACTCGAAGTGCGCGAAGCTTTCTTGGGTGCACCTTGGCTTCATTCGTGCCAAAAATATCTTTGCCCCCAGCTTTGGATGATCACTTGAAGCTTGGCTACGGGTACCAGGTACCGGTACAATAGCTGTACCGGTAGATAGCTAGACCCCCTTTGTTATCTTTGTTGTTTCCATCCACTTGATCTTGACCAATTGACCAATGCTTGTTCTTGGTTACGAGATAGACACTACTGCTAGGGACATTGTGTCATCTGGCCTGTGCCCAAGCGGGAGAAACTGATCAGCTTCTTTCTCACCCTTGTGCTTGTGAACATGTCCGAATTTATTGCACCGACCCCTCCCAGTCCCTCTTCGGAAAGAGCCTACTCCCTGGCACCTCTACCCAGAGTCCCTACCGTACCAAAGACATGCAGGAGGCTTGTACCGCTGAAACACCTCAGCCGTCTCCCGGCCAATTTGAATCCAAGTCAACACTGCCTTGCTGGTAGTGGGGCTGGCATTTGAACTGTGGATTCACTTCGCCAAATGCAGATACCCTCAGTGTTCACCTGAATCACACTGCCACTACCCCATGAGGCCCACTGTCCAAGAGGTCCGTCCCTTCAACATGAATCTCCTGGAGGAGACCATCCCATAATAATCCATTTTAACAAATGATGCACCTAAACGGTTTATTATCAATGATGTGGTCTAAAGTCTATAGTATGGTTTGCGGGTTCCTGTGATCTTCGAACTGCTTCCAACGCCCACCGCTGGGTGTCGTCTGCTTATTAATAAACGGGGTACATCAAAACGGATTCCGTCCACTCATCATCTGATGACGAATCTGCAGAGATGCCGTCGTCGGCGTCCTCATCCTCCTCTACTGTGGTTGGCTCCTCCACAAAGCTGCTTCGTACAAATCGCTCTTGTGGTTTTGGCTCCTCTTCCAATACACCGGCAATGGAGCTGTGTTCCGAGAGACCTTCCAGGTCCCCCAGCAACGACGTAATCCCGCCAGCACCCGGTCGGTCGGACTGCAGCCGTCTGTTGTTGAGACTGTGTAGATCCTTCAAACCAGAGAGACGATCGCTTCGTCCGGACATGATGGGTCGACTTGGCCTGGGTGGGGATGTTGGGCAGCTGACTCGTCTCTGTTGAACGTTCGGGGCCTTGTTGGTTGTGGCCACGGCTTTCTGCTTCGTTGGCTCTCGGGCGACTGCAGCCGGAGCTTTCTTGGACAGGCGCTTTGTCTTGGGCTGTCGCCTCTTTGGCTCTTCCTTCTTTGGCTGTCTCGGCGACGACGGTTCTTCTTTCTTCTTCGGGAGAGTCACTTTTTCTTTGGCTTTTTCTTCTTGCTCTTTCTTGACCACAGGTGGGCTCTTCTTGACCGGGGCAGAAGGCTTGGCCACCGAAGGCTTCTTTTCAACCTTGGTGGATGGTTTGCTTTTTTTGGCAGGGGTTGCCTCTGTATGATCAGCAGAAGGTTTTTCCACGGCCGATGCCTTGTTGTCAGCGGAAGGTGCCTTGACTACAGGGGCGGCTGGTTTACTCTTCTTGGCAGGAACCGCATCACCAAATCCTGGAATCTTGAATCCAGTCATCTCATCCGCCGCAAAGGTAACCTCTCCCTTGGGACTATCAAATTTGATTCGAAAGTGAGATTCGGCAGTCTCCGACAACATGAACCCTTTCGGGCTGGTGCGTTCGATTAGTTTGTGCACAACATCATCCGCTGGGGCAGCGACGCTGACCTCGAGGAGATTGCCAACCGCGGGCAATGTCTCACAGGGATGATCAAATGTGTCCCAGTTGATGAAGAAGGGACAAACGCCACCCAGCGAATGTCCGTAGAGATACAACTCCTCCCATTGCTTGCAGGAACCATCTTTGCCCGGGCCCTTCATTGAGATAAAGTCCGGCGTGTATCCCAGAGACTTGGCCTGGGAAACGAGAGCTTCAGCACCCGAGTTGCGAATGGCCCAATGAAACGGCGTCAACCCCGTGATCCCAGCAGACCGCAACAAGTCCCCAGTGGGACCCGGTTTGTCATCCGGAGCAATGATTTCCAAAAAGGAAGAACCATGGAATGCCACCCGTGCCTTTGTAATCCCCAATCCATTAATGTGCCCTGTCTTGATTGGTCTGACCCCTGTCTTTCGTTCAAACTCCAAGATTGCTGAATCCAGCTCTGGTGCCGCCAAGACTACGTGGTCAAAGATGTTGTCTTCGTCAAGGCCTGCAGCATACATGTTGTTGCTTGCTTCGTCTTCTTGGGCATCATCGTCAAGAAACTGGCCCAAGAAGGAACTGCCATTCAGATCTTCTGGCAAGGAACTAAGTGTCGAAGCGGATTCCGCCAAGGTTGGGTCGGTCCTGTCGGAGGCATCCAACAACTTGTAAAACGCGTCGCCGCCGCCACCGCCGCCACGAGGCTTGTTTTCGGGCGTAATAATCACATGTTTCTTTTTCGAGTGTTTCTTCTCTTTCGACCCCTTTGTTTTGGATTGTCTTCTGCGTCGCTTTTCCTCCTTGTCACTCTTCAACCTCTCTTCTCTGAAGTCCTCCCAGGAGAACATCATCTCTGTCTCGTCTTTATTGGTCGTGTTGATCATGGTTTAAAAATGCAAATTAGTTTGTGGGGTGAGATCCCGAATGAAATTGTGAGAGCGACGGCACTAAGGGCAAGCTTCGGTGGAGATGTGGAGATGCCTCAAAGCTTGACTGGGTGCAACAACCAAGACGATGTCTTGCAAGACCAAGACTGTCGCTCGAAGTTTTGGTCACCGCGCGACTAGAACATGTAGTATCGTCGATCCCCTTAATGCTTTGGGCCTGTGAATGACATGCTCGTGGGGACAAGACTCATCCCGCGAATTATCACTTGGATGCAAACAAAGCCCGACGAGATGTCGAAGATCGAAGAGAACAGGGGCTTAATTCAAAGGGTTCAAGTAAGAGAGCCACCCTCCAAATCCAATCCAGGCCGGGCACAGGCCAAAGACCGTACCGGTACCAGGTACGCTGAACGTCTCGAAGAAGTCAAGCCTTCTAAAGGCAAGTTCGGTATCCTATGTTCCTCTCGTCCCACACAGCACTAAGGAGCCACCGGCAAGGCGAATGACGACCATATATATTGTGCCTCGAGGGTCATAGTCAACACTCCTTCCTCCCAAAAGACACCACCAAAGGCTAGATTGATGTTGCAGTTTCCCTGGACCCATCGTCTTGCTTGTAAAACTACACAAGGCTGCTCCTGCTCGGTCGTCATCGCAATAGTATGTATGGGGGAGACTCAAAGTGACCCGCTTAGTACTCTGGTTTAACCTCCATGATTTCAGACGTAGGCAATCGACCAGGTCTGGTTTTGGTCTGGACAAGCACTTCGCCCCTTCCTTGTGAACACAATCTAGGCATGGTTTGTGGTATTCCCTCATGGTTGGGTTATCCACAGCCTGCGAGGAGAGGATGTCAAATTGCTGAACGGTGAGAAGGTAGTACAGAACCGGTGACAAGTTTTGCAAGAACTCAAGACTTTCACTCAGCACCCCATGAAAAGACCCTCTTCAGATCCATAGTAGATAGCATCAAAAAGAAAACCGAAGTGGCGATCTTTGACGTCGCTCCTGAAGATGCATGCATGTGGCTAGGTGGGCTAGGCAAAGCGACTTGGATTATTCCGATCGCATGGAACAGTGTCACAAGTTTTGGTGAAGAAGTTACCTCCTTATTAGCACCTTTGTAAGCCTTGGCATACAGCTACCTCGTCATTCAATCCTCATCTCAATGACTGTCACTCCTCTTCTTGATTACTGTCAACATTGGTTCAACATTGGTTCAAGTGGAGTTCACGGGATTGAGGGAGAAATCACCTTACGCCTCCCATGTGGGCCCGAAAAAGTGCTTCAGCAATTCAACGAAGGTCACAGTGTATGCTTAAAAAAAAAACGCGCGGATTGCATTGCTACCATTCTCTCGTTTGTGTGTGGCCTCCGTGGGGGCTAAAGGTACAAAGACAGAAATGCTGACTATTCCGAGCTACAAAGAGACGGGCATTTATTTGTCCACGTCCTGGAACAGCCAGCCAAGGCCGTCGGGGTTGACCCTGACAAAGGGCTGTGGCCAAAGGGGGAAACTAAAGGACAGGTAAGAGAAAGATGTACGGGTTGTTGTGCGAAATCGCCATCATGGGCATCGCTCGTCTGTTTGCATCTTGCTTTCACGCATGCCGTGGCAAGCTCGTCTCGGTGCAGTGCCACCAACACACAAAGGTTGTGACGGTAAACGCGGTGTTCAAGGAAATACACCGTGGATTGCTACAGCGTACTCAGTCGCACAAGTTTTGACTGACGTCAGTCGTGCCACAGAACTTTCGCCGTTGTTCTGTTCTTTCAAGTGCCGCCAATGATGATGCGACGCCACTCCCTCGTCGTCATTCGAGCTCTCGCTGATGAAGGACAGCATGGATCTGTCTTTGCTATAATAGCTGCTGATGCAATGTTGACTCAGTCATCTGCAACTACTTGAGAGCCTCCTCAAGTAAGGCATCACAGTAGTCTATATCGCTTGAGCTAACCTGTGGACAGCAAAGGTTCTATCTTGAGAGCTTGAGATGAATAGGATGAAGATGCTACCCATGAGGAAACTATTCTCGCTGCTGCTGCTTTTGCTGTTGATTGCTCCTAGCGATGGCTTTACCTCTCACACTCCAGCACTAAGGACTTGCTCTACTACTAGCATAAGTATTAGTAGTAGACAGAGACCATCCGCCAGTCCGATTATCACACGACGGATACAAAGGCAACCGTTATTTCTGCTATGTTCCACAGTGAAAGATGATGAGATTACCTCTACCGAGTCTTCTTTGCCAACTGATCCAGATAATGCAGCACTGGTAGCACCACAAAAAGATCAGGAGGATGTACCAGAAGACGATGTATCATCCAATGATGACAATCCACTGTCTTTTTTTTTGCAAAACACCATCTTTTTGGGCATTGCTCCTACACCGGATATAGTGGCGATTGCCACTATTTACTTTGTCGAAGGCGCCCTTGGATTGGCTCGATTGGCACAAACCTTTTTGCTCAAGGATGAACTGCATTTGGGGCCGGCCGAATTGTCTGCCTTGACCGGTCTCTTTGTGCTGCCGTGGACCATTAAACCCTTGTATGGATTTCTCAGTGACGGATTTCCGCTCTTTGGCTACAAGCGACGATCCTATCTCGTCGTCGCAGGATTACTGGGATGTGCCTCGTACACGGCGTTGGGACACGATTTTGGAGGATTGTTGGCGCCCGATCAAATGATTCCCGCCACGGTCGCGTCGCTCATGATTAGTAGTGGCTGTATTGCCTTTTCCGATGTCGTGGCCGATGGGATTGTGGTTCAAAAAACACGCGACTCGGACGATCCGGCATTGGCGGGAGGATTGCAGAGTCTTTGTTGGAGCAGTGCCGCTTTTGGAGGATTGTTGTCGGCGTACTACTCGGGATCTTTGTTGCAAGTCATGAAACCACAAGATGTCTTTCAAATAACGGCCATTCTTCCATTCCTGGTGGCGTGTATTTCCTTGCTGATTCAAGAAGAAAGACAGCAACAACCAAAGGATGATGAAATTGTCGTGGAGATGGTGAACAACGAAATACTGACTACGAATGGCAGTGAGGACAGTTTGACAACAAGCACTACCACCAATGGAGATTTGACAATCAGCAATGGAGATTCTGCAACCGCACTCGTAGCTACTACCGACGACGACGGCGTCAAGGGACAAATCCAGGCTCTTTGGGACGCCATTCGACAACCCAGTATTTGGAAACCAACCCTGTTTTTATTTTTATGGCAATCCACACCCACATCCGATGGAGCCTTTTTGTTTTTCATGACGGATGAACTCGGATTTGGACCCGAATTCTTGGGACGCGTTCGACTCGTTACGGCCGGTGCCAGTTTGGTCGGGGTTTGGTTGTACAATCGATTCCTCAAAACGGTACCGATTAAAGATATTCTCTTTTGGTCTTCTATTGTCGCCACACCGCTCGGATTGTCATCCCTCTTACTCATTACCCATGCCAATCGAGAATTGGGCATTCCCGATGCGGCATTTGTCTTTGGCGATGATGTCGCTTTGGCCGTGCTGGGAGAATTTGCATTTTTGCCCACGTTGGTATTGGCGGCGCGATTGTGTCCACCGGGCGTCGAAGCCGTCTTGTTTGCCACACTCATGAGTATTTACAATGGGGCCGGGACGGTCGGAACCGAAGTCGGGGCGTTGCTGACCAAGGCATTGGGCGTGACCGAATCCAATTTTGACAATCTCGGGTTATTGACTATCATTTGCAATCTGTCATCCTTGTATCCACTCTTCTTCATTGGATGGTTGGATGAAGTGGGAGCGGCGTCGGAACAAGAAGAAGAAGAAGAAGAGGCGGCACAAGTGCCACAGGCGCTGCCAGATGATTCCACCAAAGTGTAGGGGTTCGTCCATTGTTTCTGAATGTACACGATAATCGAAGATAGATTGATAGATAGACTGCCCCCCATTCAATACAGCTACCTACTATAGATTGTCTACTACACTGTACAGAGAAGATTTGAGTCATGGCGGTGGGGCTGCCGCATTGATGCCACTGGAATTCAAGTGTCACATTGGCGAGGGTTTGTCCATGGAGTGCTGGAAGCCTATACAACAGCGAACGTTGGGCAAAGCATGTCCCCATCGAACTTCAAGTGGAGTCGACGACTGGTCGTTTGCTCTGGATCGCAGCAGCGAACGTTGGGCAAAGCATGTCTCCATAGAACTTGAAGTGGAGTCGACGACTGACCAGAGCTCCGCCAGTCGAACGTCGGAAAAGTACCAGCCGTCGATAAGTCATTGTAGAAGAAGGAACAGGAGAACTGCGGAGGCGCATTGTAGGTGCTGGAGCTATAGGGCAATGTAGATGCGGGCAAAATCAGAGTACCAGACAGCACCAGTACCACACATGGATGAAAAGAAGCCCATAAAAAATCTTTTCCATCCGTTTGCCTTATGATGTGTGTTGGCAAACTCCTGCCTCACAGGAACGATTGTGCTCTCATTGCATAGAAATCAAGATAGAGCTACTGTTCCTTGCAAATTCCAGTCCCCCCATCACAGCATGTACTGCAACATCCTTCAAAACAAGACACAAGTGGTTCTCCCGTGCTGGTTGTTCCATCACTTGCTGTGAGTGTGGTCTCCGCACAGTCGGCAACAAAGTCAAAAAGTCCAAGGGAATACCTATCGTTTTCCAAGCACATGCCATCAGGAATACCCCCTCTCAGTTCAGGATTTCCATTGATTGTAAAGTCTTTCAATCCTGTCAGGGCTTCAAACCCCACAGGTATGCTACCTTCAAAGTTGTTGTTGGCCAACATCAAATATTGGAGGTTTGTGAGCAATCCAAAGTTGGTGCTCAATGTACCCCCCAGGTTGCAATTTTCTACTGAGAGGACTTCCAGATGAAGGCAACTCAAGATTAGCTCTTCAGGAATGGTGCCTTCAATGCTCGTATCTTGTATATCGAACCAATGTAGCTTGTCTACCAGACCAAACTCTGATGGAATTGTCCCAGACAATGCATTATTGCGGGCGAAATCGAATGTAGGACCACTTTCATGATCGCCTGACTCTGTAATGTCAAGATAGGCTTTTTCGACTCCCACGGATAAAAGCCCAACTTCTGTGGGGATGGTTCCAGAGAGCTAGCCAACCCAATTGCACATGAGGAGATTGTCAAGATATTGGAGGTTGGAAACAACAGCACAGGTCAACCTACCTTATTATCTCCAAACCAACTATGCCTCACTTTTTGGGTGGAAAATAATTCGGAAGGAATCGTTCCTGTAAGAAAATTCCTGGACACGGAGATCAAGTTTCCTTTGGAAAAGGGCAACAGGTTCCAATGATAAGCAATGAATCTGGGTAAAGAGAGTCATTGTCAAGATTCACAATTTGCACATACCTTGAAAGAGCCCAACTTCAGTTGGGATGGTGCCTGTCATTTGGTTGCTATCAAAGTCCAAGCCAATCAATGATGGCATGGAGAAGACTGCAGGATTAATGGTTCCTGTAAAATTGTTGCCCAAAAGATACAAAGTGGCAAGAGCTGTCAATTGGTAAATGGTTGAAGGTATGGTGCCAGTAAAGTTTTGTTTTCCTAACGACAAGGAGCGTGCATGCGACAACAAGCCTAGTTCGCTTGGAAGTGATCCAGTGAACCTATTGTCCCCTGTACAAACCAATCCATTGGCAGCAAATGATGCAGCCAAAATTTAGTGAGAGCATTGGTAGCATAGCAAGATGCGCATTTGTGCGTCATAGATATACTTACATATATAAAAACTAGAAATATTGTCCGTCTCTCCGCTACAGCTGCATCCAGCCCACCTGCATTCGGAAACTCCCGACAACCATCGCTCCGACCCAACTCGATTGTTATAAACAATTTTGTATTCACATTCGTCTGTTTGTGCGCCACTGGCAGCGCCACAAAACTTCCAAGGGCTGGCTTGCGATGTACTGAAGTAAAACTGTGTCAAAATAAATCGTTGGAGTAGATGGTTGGAATCTGGAGGCAATTGGCGGGGATCTTGATGGATGATCCACTTGAGTGCTTTTTGATGAGGTTCTGTGTTGTCTGTGGAACCATCAAAATATGTTGGACCTAGCACTTTTTCCAGCTGGGCTTTGATTTCCATGCCATCCATATCTCTGGGACTGAGTTCTTGTTCCTCTGATGAAGAGTCCTTACTGCTGCAGTGGCCGCTGCCACAGACTCCTGCCACAATGATTCCAATTACCACAAGCAAGCCAACAATGATAAAGATGAGAGGTGATTTCCTACCAGAACCTTCTGGTGCCTTGGGCTGTTCCAAAGGGACAGCATGCTGCAATGTCTGATTCTCGTCAACGGGGCTGGCACGGGGCATGTTCGCTGCATCTCCACCATTATCCTCAATTTCCAACGGCTGATGGGAATTGGGGATAGACGCAGGAGCCTCTGATTCACACTTGTTTTGTCTTTGTATAGTGTTTCCAAGTCCCTCCCCGTTGATACCAACAGAAGCTATTTCGGACTGAACTACCTGTGTGTTGCCAGCTTCGTTCTCTGTGACCGTTGCTGGTGCTTGCCCTGAGACTGATGGGTTTTGGTTCTTGGCAAGGCCGCGTGTTGTCGTAGAGGAACGTTCACCAGAAGTGGGTGCTGGTGCTTGCCCTGAGACAGCCGGTTTTCGGTTCTTGGCAAGGCCACGCATGGTCGTACAGGAACGTTCATCAGTGCTACTAATGGTGTCACTTGCTGGTACAAACTGCACTCCAGGCTGCATAGCAGATGCTGCTGCAGTTCCCTTTGACCCCGTGTGATTGACCATGGCCATGGCAGCACTGCTAGCTGAAGTGACTTCAGCTTGATTTGTCGCCCCAGAATTATTTCCCCGTGCAGCTTTTTTGGCTTCCTTTTCTTCCTCCGACCGCTTCAGCCCCCTCTGAGGACATGGACTATCTACAGCATCAGAGGCACCAACTGTGGCACTCCCAGGGCTACGTCGAGCGGCATCCTTAGCAGCCTTTTCTTCCACAGATCTCTTGAGTCCACGTGTGGCAGTAGTTGCTGAAGGGGGTGGCTTCCTGTCATCTGTGCTATTTACCAGGGGTCCCGGTATGCTGCTGGCAACTATACCACCAGTACCAGTACCAGTTCCAGTACGGCCCAAGCTAGCTCTCAAGGCTTCTTTAGCAGCTCTTTCTTCAGCCAGTCGTTGCAGAGTACAGTCCAAAGTAGGAGGAGGAGGAGGGGCCAAAGTGGCATGATCGACTGTGCCGCTGTTCCCAGAGCTAGAGCTGGTGGTGTTCAAGCAAGCAACCGGTTTCGTTGGATTGGTTTCTTTGCTGTTGTTCATGGTTTGCTTGCGGTCACTTATTTGGTTAGTAGAGGAGCAGGGACAACAGGACTACCAGTCAGTCTTTATCGAAAGTGAACCTTTGAGCTGCATAGTCTATTCATTCATATGCCCTCTGGGTCGTCTCCGTTTCCAGTACTAGTTTAACTCGTTTACTAATACAGGATTATGGTGAATAGAATCGAATGAATCATGTGGCTTATATTTAGGGTTTAGGTTTGGCAATTTTGAAGTCAACGTGGTATATGTGAGGTTGTAAAAGTTTTGTGTGATAGTATGTGTTAAGTGGAGGGTTGGTTCGCTTCCGCTGGGCTTGTGTTCTTCTTCTTTCCTCGTGTTTCCTGCTCTTCTTCGGTACTTGGGTATTCGGTAATAGGATCGTGAGCAGTTCGGCAGTTTCTTCATACATGTGGAGTGTCATCATTCTGACTATTCGCAGGTGACACTTTGGCCGACGTGGTTCGTGGAACAAGTGGAACGGGAGATGACGTAATTGTGTTGCATTGGAACTGGTGAATGGTTTGCGAATAATATCGGGAGGTCCAGTATGAAGGATTTGAAAGTGAGGGCACGGGGATTTATACGGGAAGCTACTGTAGGAGACTTACCCCGTTCTCCTGCTGGTGCTTTTCGAGAAGAGTTCCCAAGAAGGCCTCAAAGTTCATGCGGGGGTAGTGCAAAAACATGGGGAAGGGCCAGTGGTGGCGCTTGAAGGCGAACTGGTGGAGTAGAGGAGTGGGGCGGGGGATGGTGTTCGAGTGCGTAGTGGCTTGTTATAATGTTGCGACGGGTCACAGTGATGGCCCGCATCGACCGAAGTCCGATGCATTCAAAGTTGTTTCGGTGAAACCAACGACGTAAGACCGTGAAGCCGGGAGTTGACCACGAGGCCCAATAGAGTACACATGGCCCTTGTCGTCCTTGAGGAATCGGATACAGTGCGGTATACGCCTTGTTCGATCCAAGAATACGTCATAAGGGGAGTCATGATGTCGGAGTGGTGATCAGCTCACTCCAAGGTGTCATGGACCTTGTACCACTGTCGTGTTCGTCGAGAACTAGGAAGGGTTCATCTTCTTTGCCGGGTCGTAACGTATTGCATGTAGGCCGTGTTTAAAGTTTCATTGAACCATTCAAGGCCATTTCTGGGGTTGGGATCTGGGGGAGAAAACGTTCACCAGTTTCTTCGTCAACTTCAACCTCTGGGCACATGATAACAAAGCCTCTTTTGTCATAAGCAGTACCGTTGGTGGCATCGTACATAAGGAGCTTTCCCCATCAGCAGAAGCGCGGTCCACCAATTTGAATACCCACTCGATTATGTGCTTGTCAGAGAGGGCTTGAAAAAAGGCAATCATGTCTTTGGGTTTAAAGCCGTTGACGGAGTGGTCATTGCGTCGGTTGTACATACAACCGGTAGCTTTCTTTTCAACAGCCTGAAACGAGGAACATCCGGGAAGGATTCTGTTTCGTCTCCTGAGTGTGCAGCGTGAACTCACAAGGAATGAAAGGACCTCTTGGCGTTGTTGCCGGCCGCCCTTTTTCTTCTTCGTTGACCGCGGAGAGGGTTCGATGCGCGAACGTGTGTGATGTCGGTGTTGGGAGACATGGTGAAGGATTCGAAAAC